CACACACACACACACACACACACACACACACACACATTCCCCCCATTGGTACAGGGCCAGGAAGCAGAAAATATACGTTTGCCAGCTGGCACGAACAGTGAACATCGACAGCGGACCACTTAAATTAACAAACAAAAATGGATGAATGTATTAAGCAAAACTGAAATGAGAAAGAGAAATGGGCTTGTTGGGTCAATTGATATTATTGTTATGCAAATAATGTGCTCGTCAATGCAAATATATTAATTCCTTGGCTGAATGATCTAACGTTATCGAGGTAACAATGTAATCATCACTGCACATACATTAATTCCTTGGCCAAATAATTTAACTGTATAAGTGTTAACTGTATTTGGTCAAATTTAACTGTATAATTATGTATAAGTTCCAGTAAAATGGGTTTAATTTACCGTGTGTGACAGTGTATTTTTCTTTTTTTTTTTTTGACAGTTTCTGAGAGAAAACAATTTGCTTCAGCTAATTAGCTCACCATTATTTTTGCTTTTTCCTTCCACTGTTTACAATTTAATAGATGTGAAAAATAGCAAAGGATGTATGAATTTGTTCATTACGTGCAACATTTAATATAATTCGAAATGCACTACCTGAATCTTTTACCATGTTTTGACGTTTTCAATTCAATTGCTGCAAAATGCATTCCTTATCCTATTACTATTTTTTCTCTCTTCACAATTTTGCCATTTTTTTTTCCTTTTTTTTACAATTTTAAATTGATTGCTATAAAACCATTGATTTCAATTTATTTTATATTTTCATATGTTCAAAGGTCATTTAACAATTTAATTTACTCTTGCTTTAATTACAAGAAATTTTCAGAAAACAGAAAAGATAGTAATTAAGGAATTGCTTCTTTATCATTTCAATGATTGATGATTTGAATTCTTCATTTTCGTTGTTGATCTTATCAGCCAAAGATTCTGTTGGGATCTATTTTCTCGAAATCCATAAGCTTTACAAATAGAATTGCACATGCTACTATTCTTCTTTCCTCTCTCTCTCTCTTTCTCTCTCTCTCCCTCTCTCTGCCTCTCTTTCTTTCCCTCTCTGTTCATTTTTTTTTTTTGATAACCAACCTAACCTATGATATGTTTGACAGGGAAGAGTTAGTTACCTTTTAAGAAAAGAAATAAATAGGTGAATTCATTCTTGTGTATGATTTTATAATTGAAAGTACTTCTCTTCTTTCAGCAAACAATATCTATGCTTAAAATCTTTTCCTTTCAATTCCTGAAATTTCAAACAAGACGAAAAAAAAAAACAAGTAATCAGAATTGATTTGTAACTGCCATTATCCTAAAAATGTATCATTCTGAGGACACAAAAATTAGCCAAGTGTAAAGTACACGCTCCTGTCCCATTTACAATATAATTATACAATCAGATGTGAGAAAATTATGATTCTTGAAAGAGGAAGAAAGATACTTAAAAAACATTTCAGGTAAAAAAAATCCACCTGAAAATTGTAATGTCATGTTTAGGTTGAACTTTATCGAACAGAATCCTTTCTATGACTGCAAATATCATGCATACAGTATATAATATCGAATCGTACTTCTCATTCTTATTACAATATTTGCAAAGATCAATAAATAATCCATGTCGAAGATCAATAATTTATGTCAATAAATGGGATCATTTAATTTGATATTAACAAAATATGGAAGTCTGTTTACTAAATTAGATTACAATCATCTGAATATTTCTTCAATATACTTTAATTTGAAAACGTTTCTTTGATGCTTTTATTCCTCTATAAATCTCGATATTCTTTTCATTTCTCAAATATTTTGCATGAATTCTTGGTTAAATTTATAATATGCAAATGAAGCATTACTAAAATACATCACATTATATTAGCAAAAAAGCATATCATTAATCTTTCTGGAATATTTCTTTCTTTCTTTTTCTTTTTCGGGAATTAGAAGAAGATTAATAATATTAAGACTAATAGTATCTCTTAATTTTATAATATAATTACATGCCTTCCAAATTTTACCTAATATAAAGACATACTCTATGGGATGACCATTTTCATCATAGCGCAACAAAGTAACGCAAATCTGGCTTGAATGAGAATGGGCACTTAGAAGCAGTTTTTGAGTGATAGTATTTTCAAGAGTCGGGTTTAAGTGAGGGTGTTTTGAAATTGATTTTAGCTTTTTGATATTAGTTCCTGAAATCTGACATGGCTGTACTAACCAGAAAGTTCATTAGAGTTTAGCACTCAAAAAGCATGAAGGTACAAACTTGAAGAGTGATCTTTTCATTCCCTATAAAGTTTTGCAGGAATGGACGAAGATTTAACGGAACGACACAATGAAGTAGAAATGATGGATGATGAGGATGAAAAGAAACGAGTAAAAAATGCCAAGAAAAAGGTAAATTAATTTCAAACATTTATATTGAAATTCAAATTAATAAATATCTTTGTCGACAACTTGTAAAAATTGCTTTACCTAATAAAAAATACTGGTTTATTTTTCTCAAAAGATTTGTCAAAAAAATTATTTCTATTTTACGAATGAGTGAATTAATCCTGAAATTTTTGTTTTTTATTGATTTATTTTTCTTAAGGTAATTAAAATTAAGGTTTACATACCTGGTATAAGTCGACCATTACGTGAGGATGAAGACTGGGATTTTGATCCTAAAGCATACCGCTTATATCACAGTTTTGAAACAAGTAATATTTCTTAATTGCTCTTATCTGGCTTGTTCCATTCGAAGTTATACTTACTATTTGATTAGCTTAAGACAGTCAAATGCTAAAGGACTTGAACGGTTACTATTGGAGAGTGAAAGTGAAAATCAGTGGAATTGAAACGTTAGATAACTTAATTCACTTTAAAAAGGATAGGTTGAGGTTAACGGAGATTGGATATGCAGGTGCCTTCAATGCTTATATACATATATATATATATATGACACTTTTAGGATGGCCTTGCCTCAGCTTCGACACGATTGCTGATGATCTTGGTGATAATCGTACTGATTTTCCGATGAGCTGTTATTTAGTCGGCGGAACGCAAGCTGAGAAGGCAACTAATAACGAATTAATTGTGATGAAGTTGTCAAATTTGAATCCAATCGAAGGTTTGATTTTGTTTCATACGACGTGCGCTTGGAAAATAATACTGATATAAATGGTTGATTGAAATACCATTAGATTTTTTCTTATGGATGTCCTTAAACATTTTTCAATTAAGAAACAGTATGATATAATAGAGGTTCAACTCATCAACTCAGGTGTTTGAACACTCCAGTCACGATCTAGAAAATTATAATTTAATAGTTAAAATGATATTCTACGTTTTGGTTCAGATGATGAAACATCTGGTAGCGAAGAAGATCTTGAAGAAAGTCCTCGAGACAAAGAACCAAAGCTTCATGCTATAGCTATTCCACATATTGGCATCGTTAATCGTGTAAAGGTAGGTCAACTTTGAAGAATTATTTCTGAACTGAGGATTATTAAGCATGTGTTCTTACCGCATTACAATGTATTGGAGCTTTAGTGATCTTATTCATCCATAGGAACAGAAATATTGAAAAATTTATAGGTTTCGAGATTTTATCAAAAATTTATAGATTTTAAGATTTTATTCGAATTGTAAATACAAATCTTGCACATTTGGAATATCCCAGGTGACTACTCTTGGTCAAAGCAAAGTGTGTGCTGCATTCAGTAGTCAAGGAAAAGTAACATTATGGAATCTCACTCAAACAGTAGAAGAAATATCCAATGCAGTAGGACGCGACCGCATTATGAAACACCCGAAAGATCGACCTTTCTTTTCATTCATTGGTCATCAAGCTGAGGGATATGCCTTGTCATGGTCACCGCTTAAAATGGGTTTATATTTCTGTGTTCATGTTTTCTTTTCCATTATTCAAATTCGTGTCGTTTTTTTTTTTTTGCTTTTCTTTATATAAAAGAATCATTTGCTTGGGATCTTAAACGATCTTAGTCTTCCTCAAAAAAATGAAATCTAGTTTTACAAACTGGGAGGAATAAAACTTTCTGTTGAACAGGTGCGATTTTTGCTGTACTATTTTTTATTAACTTTGCCGAAGCTGTGCTTTTTATTTAATTCATGGGAGTAAGTAGCATACTATTCATAAAACTGTTATTTTTTGTCAAATTGTTTATTTTAACCATCGGGTTTTTAGGAAGGCTTGCATCTGGTGACATTAAACATAAAATACATTTGTGGACAATGGCTGAAGGTGGTAAATGGGTTATTGATCAGAAACCTCTTGTCGAACACAAGGATTCTGTAGAGGATCTTTGTTGGTCACCAACGGAAGAAGCAATGCTTGCTTCGTGTTCGGCTGATCATAGCATCAAACTGTGGGATACGAGGTCTCGTGACATTTCAAAAATACTCTAGTTTTCGCCAAGTGGAAAAGAGATATTTCAATATCTCTATGTCCTAAAATCTCAACAAATATTTCAATTTTATTCCAAAACTAATCAAATCAAAACAGTGAATTTCACAGCGAAATTAATTGTGATTATCGCTTATTTAAGGTCTGCGCCGTCAGATGCTTGCGTTTGCACTATAAAAAATGCACACGAGTCACATGTAAACGTTTTATCATGGAACCAATTTGAACCTCTTATCATAAGCGGTGGCGACGACATGACTTTGAATGTATGGTCACTTAAAACTATGCAGGTTAGTTGAATCTTTTTCCATTGTTAATATTCTTGTCGACCTCATTTAAGACTTAATATTTTCGTCTCATGTAAGACTTAATTGTATTATGCATGACTCTCCGCAAGCAGAAATTCTTATAGCTAGAACTCGGAATTAACCTTGTGATACTGCATGGGGTGTGGTTGGTGCATAGGGGTCAGGAAGATTGTTTAATCGTTCCAAGAAATGAAGGAAATCACACGTGTGCGGAATTTCATATACCATGCATTTGAAAAAGGATTTCAATTAGTTTCTCTGTTAAAGAAACTTCATTAAAATCTATTTATATTCATACAAATATTTCTGCTGTTCTGATCAAGTGATAATTACCCCTGTTGTTACTCTGTTTTAGTACAAAGAACCCGTTGCTCGGTTCAAACAACACAAAGCACCAATCACTTCCGTAGAATGGTCTCCTCATGAGACAACAACATTGATAGCATCCGGGGAAGATAATCAAGTAACTATATGGGATTTAGCTCTCGAAGCCGATTCAAACGAAAGTATTGCTGAAGTGCCACCACAGTTATTATTTGTTCATATGGGACAAAAGGAAGTGAAAGAGGTAACGTTTTGAAACAGCGCGAATTCAGATATGGGGAGATATTTCTGAGAAATTCAAACACTCTAGTGTCATATAATGCTACATCTGACATAATAAGGATTTAAAAATAATCTGAAAAATTCGCTTCTCGAAAATTAAACTAGAAATACCGACATCATTTTTCCATGCTGCCTCTACTGCTTCAATACACTGCAACTTGTAAAATCTTGATTTCAGGTACATTGGCATAGTCAGATTCCTGGTTTAGCGGTCACAACGGCACTGTCTGGCTTCAACTTATTCAAACCAATAAATTTATGACTTACCCTTTAGTTTTCTTGCAGATTGCTATTTGCTTTTTTTAGTGTTACCGTCAAATTGTGCTTTTTTATGCGAAATTTCAGTAATTATCCAATGATTTTAAAATATCAAATTGACGGTGGATGAAATCAATTCTAATTTGTTGAATTTGTTGATAAATCTTAATTAAATAAGATTTTCTGAAACTATGTCGCAACAGTCGATTTACTGATAAATTAGATGTTTGGATGATATTATAATATCCTGTTTTTTCTCAGCGAAGTTCTTTTCCCATAAAAGTTGTGTTAGGTGGTGTACTTAATTTGATATGCGCAACTACGATCTAAGCAGGTATAATCTGTGATAGAAAGCTACAATTCTTCACTCTTTATGATTCACATTATCACATTCACATCACAGATCTACATTCAGTACTTCACTCAGGTTGTTGATCGATTCATTCATATGTTCGACTTTTGATCATCTTATAATCAGATGAAGAGCTCGCTTCCCCGCAGGCTGATTTTCAAATAATTCACCAATTCGTATTTATTCTGTCAGCATTACTTTTCTCCACTGCGTGGTACTCCGTATAGAGTAAATCCATCCAGTCTGGATTCAGCATTGACCACTCTTCTTTTACACGTTCTAGTTCCTCTTCCATTTCCGAATTATTATCCGAGCATGATAATTCGATTGCATCTAAGATCTGTTTTCTTTCTTCAATCGAGGCACCACGGATTTGTCCGCCACCATTAATACATCCTGATGGACAAGCCATGATTTCAACGTAATCATAATTACATTTGGAACGTTTTAATTTCTGCACATGATTTTGGATGTTACGAAATCCATAACATTTTGCTACGGATAGCATCTTTGTTTCCCCATCTGTTGCTTCAATGATTTCCCAATTTTTATCCCTGTAAAAATTTACCGTTATCTCTTAGTCTTCATCTTCATTTATATTTAAATTCTCCTGCTTTATGCATCTGAAAGATGACTTTTAACAATAAAAAGATCAGGATCAAAAAGTGAGGAGGCTTAAGAAAGTAAAGATCTAAAAATTCTAACGAAAATTTGAACTTACTTTACAGTTCTCTCTAATTCCAACGGCCTTTTTGATTCTGCGATAAATCTTTTCACAATGTATTCAGCGTATCCACCCGAAGAGCCTCCCTCGGACATAATTATCTTCCCATTTTCTAGTGCATTTAGCCAATTTATTTTTTCAGAAACAAAATAATCCTGTGTTGAGCTGTACTCATCCAAAATTTCGTCTACTTCCCCTGAAACGTTCTTATGAGAAGCAGTTTAGAGAATTAATGAGATACATGAAATCCGAGGAAAAGATAAAGATCGAAAGTCAACACTGAAAATAACACAGAAGTACTTCAAAACTTATTTGACCTGTACTTAAAACGCAGTCAACTTCACGCCAGTCGAAGTGGTTCCCGGAATTCGAGCGCGCAGCTTCAAGTTTCTTATCAAAACATGGCATGACAGAGGCATGAAATATTTTTTCCGGTCTTACATTGAACTTCCTGAAAATCAGATTTATGCGAAATAAAGAAGAAATTTAATAGTCGTCAAAGTCTGCAACTTAACCCAAACGAGGTACAAATAATTCGAAGTCAACACTAACGTTTAATTCGAAAATGAGGTAAAAATAAAAATAGTTTGAATTTATTTTATTAACCCGCTCTTGAAACATAATCAATCGCACAACAATAGAAGTAATTCCCACAATGCAAGTATGCAACTTTCTTCAAAATATGATATAACAAAGGCATGAAATAGAAAAAAAAATGGAGATTTCGAGGAAGACTTTCGAAAACATACCTTGCTAGATAGTCCTTCACAAGTACGCCCATCATGGCTTGTGGTGATCGTACACGGCTAATATGAGGGATAAGTAATGCTCCATGAGTTTTTTCAGCATAGCACACTGAAAAACTAATGGTTAATAACTACGTTACAAAAGATACAGAGAATAGAATATTGATAGAAAAAAAAAGTGACATCAAATTTCTTAAAATCAGTTTTTAAACCATCCTGTCGTAGTGAATAAAATATATGAATCAGATAAAGTTTATTTTGCATATTAATTGATAAAATTAAACGTCACAACTCACCGAAACCTGGACAAACACCCGTAAAAACTGGTCGCGGCAACTGCGCTTTCTTAAATTCATCATAAGAGAGTGATAAAGTTAGTAGCCTTCCAAAGCTTGAATCAACGACATATTTTATTCCCATATTCTTGAAAATTCCGGCAATGAGTCTTGCTGCTTCTGACTGTTGCCAACCACGTTTATAAGCGATGGATGCTATTGATTGCGGAGAAACGGTCACTACATTCAATTGCGCATTTGCCAAACCCTCCAAAAATTTCGGCTTCGATTGTTCCTGAATAATACAATAATAAAAGTTCATTAAACAACGTTTAGAATTCAATGCAAAGAAGTAAACCATTTATGCTAACGCAAAACAGAAAAAAATTTTTTTACAGAAAAAAAGTTCTTATTTGCACTCCGCTTCTAATACTTGATAGTGCTCTAAATTATACCATCAAAAGGAAAACCCTCACTTATATATTACTTATATATTACATCCTCTCTTAACAAACCACCCCATTAGTTATATCGCAAGCTATGCAAAATTATATCACATAAACTTCGCACTGAAATGAAAATGATACGACGAAAAAGGAAAAGGTAATGCAACTAGTACAAAAAATAAATAAGATTTCATGATACCACTAACTTTAATAAGTATTGTTTCCGCACTTGTAATACAACCACTGCATGCTAGACAATCATTTAATGTAATCGTCACTTTTCTTGTTGCATTATTGTCAATCGCCTTTGATCGATTCCTAGCTCGAATTTGAACTTCCATATCAGATTCTTTTGACTGAATTGGTAAGATACATGCCTAAAATGGTATTCTACAATTAATTTCCAGAAAATTTCCAACATATTTCCTAAAAATCTTACATTTAATAATAATGCATTTTCTGAAACCTAAATAAAGATTTAAAAAATAAAAGATCATACAAACTTGTGAAGGGGCAATAAAATCGCTGATATTTGAAATTTTGACAATCCCACTGAAACCAGAATCATCATCCATTCCTAAAAAGTGTCCAGTAATAAACAATTTTTCAGTAGAAGCAGGTTCATATAAGTGAGGATCGTAACAGAGGAAGTGCTTGACGAATGCAGCTATAAGGAAAAATGTCACGGTTTCCCAACAACTACTACGAAAATATGTCACTTAATTCTTCTACTTTTTTAGTGTCAATTTCACAATCAAGTGCATTACCTGCAGCTGTGGTAAAAAAGAAACATACACCATAATATATTAAAATATGAAATTTAGTATATCGTTACTAATTGCAAAAAAATTACAAAAAAAGCAAGTAATTCCGACGCAAACTAAACTAGTTTTCACAAGAAACGTGCTATTTTGAAAATTTATCAAATTATCACTTCATTATTTCAAATGAGTAATAAATTATTGACTGAGAAATTACAAACATCGTTATGATCAGATACTGTTATACATATCATGTGAGTAATACATTACGACAAAACAGAATAAACAAATCCTATCACGTCGAGAATATTTCTTTTGCTGTTTCATCTAACACTCTGAAAAAAAAAGAAAGAATCTCTAATATAGAAAAATTCCATTTTCTGTAAAATTTAATAAACAAAAATACTCTGATTCTGTAATTAAAGCTTACTTTGATTTGATAAGTTGTCCTGGAACATAAAATGGATTTGAGAGTGAGTTGCAATAAGCAGTGTGAAGCTTTTTGAACATCTGAAGGTGTAATTATAAATAAGAGTATTGTTAATTTTTACTGACAATATTAGTTGCATCCAAAGATTCCAACCGTCGTTTAATACATTGATCTAGTTTGAAATCATTAGATCGCACTTTTTAGCGCGAGTACAATTTTGATCCCAAATGCAGGAATTAGCTGATAAATCTAGAGAAAGGGCCCTTCCTATGCAACTTTTGAAATTGAGATTTTAAATTCCACTCACCTTTTACTTTAACCATTTCGAACAAAATTTAACCAAATAACTTACGGAACGAATATCTTGATCCTTCAGTGAAATGTCGCCTATCTCAGTCACAATAATCATTTTCACATTAGTATTTGTTATATAACCAAATGACTAAAAAAAATATGGATATGAATAGTAAATAAGACTAAAAGCATGGTCAAATCTTAATCACAATTCCGATTATCATTGCGATTGCACGAATTTCTATTGGATATTCTCTCTATCGTTAAATTCCGGTAACGTTAAAGAGTAAGTGACATTGATTATAAAATGTTATCATTTTTGATGTATAATAAAGCAATTTAATCAACATGTAGCATTTAAATCATTAAACTTCTCTAAAAGCTTTAAATAAACCTTGAAATTCTGATCTGATATAAGTGGTCCCAAATACAGTTCCTGCGTCTTATTGGCATCGAATATTTTTTCATCAATAATATCCAATGAACAATAAATGAACATTTGTATATCGAATTCTCTCGATGATTCTTTCTCGCTTACATTCAGATATAAGGGTACACTCTATCTCAATGAAGATAATTTTAACTTCATTACTCAGTGATATCAAAACTATCATATAGGTAATAAAGTGAGGAAGCAAGGAGAGGAAAGGAAATTTTAACTTTAAAATTATGAATGACTGATTGGCTTTTCTTTCCTTGACATTCCTGTTGTAACTGTTTCACTCATTTATGTTTTAAATTTACTTTAATTAAGAATTTACATCACTGTGTCGAAAATGTTGCATTTGGTAATTTAAATCACTTTTTTCTTCATCACTCATTACACTTTGTCTAATATTTCTGAATTACTTATTACTCAATTATTCATCACCACCAAAATCACTTGATCCATACCGCAAGAGTTAAGAAGACTGCCAGTAAGGAGAAAATGGAGGAAAGATGATACAAACAAAACTAACATCTTTGGCAATTATAGCAACACTGATAACCATTCCTATCACCCTTTCATATGGGTAACTCTTGCCCAGCTCGGGTTATCTATCACTTATCCTAAAAATTTTATTCATTTTAAACGAACTGTTATACAATTCATAACACACCCGAAATTACAATTTCCCGGATCGCCCTCCCGAGTTTTCCACTTCGCCGTAATCACAAGCGATTCAATTAATCTGTTGCATGCAACGAGAATCCCAGTTGCATTACTGCCAGGAATTCAGGGCGGGTCTTTTACAAATTCCGATTTCGGAGGATTAGAGTCTTCCCGGATATGGCAAATGGATTATGGAAGGGTTAGAGTCTTTCCAGATACGGTAAATGGGATTATGAGGGAGTTAGAGTCTTTCTGGATGTAGTAGTTGGAGTTATGAGAAGGTTAGTGTCTTTTCGAGTATGATGGCGTTATTAGAGGGTTCGAGTCTTTCCGGATATGATATTGGGATTGTGCTATGAGAGGGTTAGAGTCTTTCCGGATATGGAAGTTGGAGTTATGAGAGGGTTAGCGTTCCGGGTATGGTAGTTAGGATTATAAGGAGGTTAGAATCTTTCCGGATATGGTAGTTAGGGTTATGATGTTTCCAGTGGTATTGATAGGCATTGCGATTCTTGAGTCGTGATGAAAAGAATGTAATGTTTTTTTTTGTAATGATAGATGGGCTGCAACATATTTGAACACAGGAGTAAGAATTGCAGATATTAAAATATCCTTCAAATATGTCAAATCCACTTCGTGATTTAAGAAAATATTAATCATAATAACTGGCTGCTATCCACATTTCCATAGCACATGTTTTTAGCTACTCAAATTTTGTTAACATAATTGCAGGAATTCTTCAAATATTGATGCCTAGTGGCGCTTGTTGTCATTTTTTGAAAATTTTTATTTTAGAAAAATATTTTTTGTGAAGATAGCAGAAGTTGTATGATATGGCAAAGCATCATCCAGATCTGATTTTTTGTCGTAAGCAGCCAGGTGTCGCTATTGGTCGGCTTTGCGAAAAATGTATTTTTTTTTTGTTTTTACTTTTACTTTCTTAAATCTTGAGAATGTTAAACTTTTCATTACAGTATCCCTGTGACTTCGAATAAGCTCAGTTGGCCGGCAGTAGTGATCGATGGATGACCGACGTCACCTAAAGTAACCGGCAAATGCCTGAAAACAGTCAACTGAGCTTATTCGAAACCACAGAGATATTGTAATAACTCTAAAGTAATCGGGCAAATGCTTGAAATCATGATTTTTTTATAAGGACGTTCGCTGTACTGTTATACGCGATATCAAGAGGTTTATTATGCGGTGTTAAATAACTTGACAAATCTGATAGAAATGTTGGTCGACATAGTAGTAGGCCTAATAATTGCTTGAGCGTTAATCAGTCTTGCAGATCTGGCATTTGTTTAGGCATTAATTGACGTGATAGGTAAGATAATTATTTGGGGATTTGAAATATTAGGCCTAGTTTGGACCACTTCAAATCTCTCTAACAACTTATATTAAGATTTCATTTCATTCTTTGGCAGGTGATGGCCGCTGTGTTATATGTGACTCATATGTTCGGCCATGTACACTAGTGAGGATTTGCGATGAATGCAATTATGGGTCTTATCAGGTAAGAGCAAATAAATGCTTGGAATTATGTTTAATACTCCAATATTTCACGACTTTTTCAAAAATTCAAAAATGCATTTAATTGCTTTCATTTATTGGATAAGTTTGAATTTCGTGAATCAAATTGGGGAATTTCATTCAGTTTTTTTTTTTCGTAGTAGAATTTGCCGTTTGTTCAAGTTTCTCAGTACGGTCAATTTGTAAGCCTCTTTTTGAAGCAATTCTCTCTCAAAAAAATCAATAGCAGGAAATTCATTGTGATTTCATTAAATTAATAATTAGCAGTTTTTCAGTTATTTTAGTGACAGAACTTTTTAATTTAATATTAAGTTTAAAAATTAATAGTTTTCATAACTTGCTATTACCGTTTTTTGAAATTTTATGAATTTGAAATGTTTTTTTTGATTTAATTTTGATTACTTTAATGGACACATATTTTTAGGGACGCTGCGTCATTTGCGGAGGCTCGGGAGTAAGTGATGCTTATTACTGCAAGGAATGTACGATTATGGAAAAGGATCGAGATGGTTGTCCAAAAATTGTCAACTTGGGAAGTGCCAAAACGGATCTTTTCTACGAGAGGAAAAAATATGGTTTTAAAAAAAATGGATAGCATCTACTTATTACTATCTCATTTGCGTGATGATTGTTCTACACAACGCTTACATGTGTGTACTGTTTTTTCAGTTTAATTAATTGTATGATTTGTTGCTTGAACGATTTTTAAATTTTTTAGTATGGTTTTTATTCAGTTTGGATTTACTTCTGCATTAATCTAATGTTTCCGGTAATCTCATGATTTTCTAATTTAGATTTCAGGGTTAATTATGATGTACGCAGAAGCCTTTATGCATTCCTTATAAGTTTGTATTACAAGTATGCTTCGACACGACCCTTCAACTTCAGTTATTTGAGCGTCATTTGCTAAAACAAATATGTAAATTTTTTTACTTAGAATCCTAATTTTCAGATAATTAATATCAATAAAAGAATTCAGTGAAGAACTTTTGGGTATTTAGGATTTTCTTGATTGTTTTGTATTATAGCACTGGTCATTTTTTTCATTTTCATGTTAAGAATAAAACTCGATTTTCATGTCCGCTTTCTTAACGTCTATTGATCACTGCGCTTCGTATGCGCCTCAATCATTTTATTTATTTTTGTTAATTTTCTTACTGACTTCTTCAATAGAACTCAGAGGCCCGGTGAGAATCCGACATGATTGTGGTCTTTCTAACATTATAGACCTACTGCAAAAGGATAGAAATTACTTACTTTGGCTATAATAGGAAGTTATTGAGTTTTGGCAGGTTTTTTAAGTTAAAATAGCATATTTTCGCACCTTGCGTAATCGCTGGGGTAACAGTAAATTGGATAACGCTAAGCGAAAGCAAAGTTTGGCCTGAATTATAAAATGAAATAGTGAACTTGGCCTATCTAATTTTATTGATTCTAAATTGTGTAGTAATTGAGCGGTCGGTTCCTTCACAACCACACTAGCCTGTTGTTTGTCTATAAGGGGAATTTTTTTTGGTACGAATTGACAGATTTGTTCTATAACTTTATTCCATTGCACTTTTTTCATTTTATAGCGAAATCTTACCTTCATATGCACACTGATTTTTTCATTACTGTAATAAACTGAGAAATTAAGCGAAAAAGAATTTATTTAAAAAATATATTGTTTGTAGCATCAAGCATCAATCATGATGGAATCTAACGGATCTAATTTTGATCCAATGTTGGATGATTTTATGCGAGAATTCGATTGCGATCGTATGCTTTTTTTTTTCAATGACAAATTGAACTTCATAACTGTAGATTTTTCTGCAGTAGATTTTTGTTATTTTGAAGCTTCTCTCGGGCAGTAGTAACATTCAGCAATAAATAATGTAGTCTTACATGTTAAGTTTATCCTATATTTCTGTGTTTGTTATTCTTAATTCAGGTATCAGAAACTTTTTTTTCTCCTGATGAGTTACTATCGACTGGAATGTTTGAAATTCTTGCTAAGCACTGTGTATATAATTGGATGCGTACTTTAAAATCAAAATTTCATGAGAAAAATAGTATTGAATTGTTTTAATATTTTATTTAATATTTTTAATTTCAGCTTCTGATCGTGAAGATCTCTCTTGGTTTTTTTTGGAAGATTGTACACCTTTTAAAGTTGATGCAAAGAAGGAAATCGAACGAATTCGTAGAAAATGTATGAATTGTACATTAGATTACTTAACGGTTCAATTATTACAATATTTGATGTCCGTTTCTTTTTTAATATCAATGATTATTTTAATTTCAGTTGTAATTTATTCACCAGATCTTTGAATATTTATTTAAAATTTCTTCCTTACCTTTACTAGTCAAATTTTTATAGATGTTAAACGAAGTGAAAAAAGAGCTGCCCAGTTTGCGGGTATAGTACGTCGATTGCAAAAACAACCCGATTTGATAGATGCAGACGAATTAGTGCTATTTCTCATAGCATGTGCCTCGGAACATCAGGTATGTTAATCACAGAATATGTGCATCTGTTGGTCACATCTTTTGGTCAGCGTTTCTATAACTCTTCTACATAAAAACAAAGTTTAAACACTTTGTTTTTACATTGCATTACTTTTTTATTGCGTTTAGGGTTTTGATCTCTCATTCGGTAATTTCATCAATTCAGAAATTTTGCTGATATTAGGCGTAATTCAAGATATTTAAATGTGCAGTTCTTTTACAATTATCTTTTCTAGTGTGCTAATAATCTTCTGCGATCTTTTAATGCTCTTGCTATTTAAAGAATTTAAACAATTTTCACTTTTTGAAGGCATATAATTTTCATGATCTTTGAAAGTTTTTCTTCCCCACTTATGATCACCCATCACTTCTATTTGGCGATCTCTTTTCTCCATTCAGAGTTCACTTTAGAAAATCGATGCCAGGGGCTGCATAATTTCGTGCAGTATCTAGGCTGCTAGTGTATGGAACAAAGTTCATTTTGTCGTGTCCTAGTTAATTGTTCTTCAGCATTTTTCTCACACACTCAAATGTTTTTATCGGTGTCTTTTTGCATTATTTTAAAAAAAAAAAAAAAAAACTGAAAAATTTTGCTAAATAAAGATCTTCGTTGCGCATTACATCGGCAACAGTACATTTCATGTTTAAAAATAATGAGAAGAAAACTAATAGCGGCTTAAAATTGTGATATTTAAAAAACTAATTTTTTATTAATCAACTAATTTTGCTGCAATTTTCAACGGAAATTTTTTTAAGCTAGAAAAATGCATGAAAATTGATAAAAAATTTATCTTTTTCTTACGATTATCTTAATGTAATCTTTTTTCCAGTATGCTAGAAAGGCTGAGCGAGATGCAAAGTTAGCAGCAGCAAATGCGAACGTTAGTAATGCTTTGGTAACGCCGATGTCCCGACAGCGTACCACCAGATTTACTTTAAGTCATTCGGCAACACCGAGTTCAGAGAGTAGCAGACAAAGCCTTTTTTCGTATGCTTTTAATCTTAAGCAGCTTGAAATATTGAAATTCCGAACTTCAGATTTCTTCATACCACTCTAATTTCGGCGAAACATCATTTTTTTTCTATTTTCAATCAATAACAAAATTGTAATTCATCTTATGCAGAATTAGTTATAGAGAATGATTAAATTCTTGAGATCAATTTGATTAAAAATTAGTCTTTCTAATTTTTTCCAATTTTAATGTTTTTTCTCAAAAATCTTTCCAGGTCGAAACATATACAGCTTTTAAGTCCACAGCCATCTGTACTTAACGGACGAGCAGCACATCTTTCAGGTTAGTCTTGATTATGTTCGTTATCATTTCAAAGTTTACTGTCGGTTTGATTGATTTTTGATAAGGGATAATAGATTTTATAAAACTAAATAAATTGAAAACTTTATAAGTCTGCTAGGCATTTTTGCAAGGCGGAATCCTTTTTAAAGGTTTTATTTTGTTTTGCTTTTTTTGATCTTGGTTTTATTTTTATTGGATCTTCTTTAATGTATTTTTTTGCAGACCCTAAAGCGGAAAATATACAAATCTTCATATTTTTTTAGATGCAATTTTAGTTTAAATCCAAGCGTATATCTGAAAAATGAGTTGTATAAAAAACAATTTTCAATTAGGAGAATTTACAGTTTTGTGCGAAGAGGAAGTTATAAGACATGTACTGATGGCTTTGCAAGGTATCGAGGGTACTTATATTATATGTCGCGGTTTCAAACAAGACGAATTACGATTAGGCAATATGCTTGCAGTCGATGACACCTTACGCCCTCAGCTGTTACGTTTATTACCCATTGCAAATGCTTATTTATATTTGAAACATGAGTCACAAAAGCCATCCTCGGATCGTCTTGTTCGGGTTTGTTTCACTTATCTCTTCCTTTTGTTTTATTCATAAGTTGGAATGAAAGGTATTTTTGCATTATATGATATTCTAAATGCTCCGCATCGCATATATCGAAGTTGAAGATGCACAATGAAACGAAATTAATGATAAATAAAAAAGCAGTTTCATGAAGATTGCATTCTCCGATTTACTGTTTCAGGCGTTTTCTACAGGCTTATCCGAAGTATTAGCGAGCTATATGTGCCTCATTTCCATGTTGTATACGAAGGTATTAACCCTTTTAATTTGGAAAATTTGTTAATTGGCAAATAAAATACCTGATTTCCCTTTATTACATATCTCATTATAACTCTATTTATTGTGGTTCACGAAGCTGTTTCAGTACATATCCAGTCCTGGATCACTCACTTGTTTGGATATTGTGATCGCATTGTGCAACTGGGAAATCTTATTGCCCTTTTTGTCGAAACTTGTTTCCATTTCTGGAAGGTTCAAAGGGATGCTTATTTTCAACATGCTTTGCTCATTTTATTGGTAACTCAAAATTTTACTAATTTTCAATATGAAGAGGGACATGTTCTTTTTGTAAGATTATAGAAATTAAGAAAGGATAAGGAGAATTTATTACAACTAAATATAATTTCATGATGACCTAAAAATTTGTGGCTTTAGGAGCACTGCTAATCAATTTATCCAACAATTTCTGCATATGTTGCTGCGCCCTATGATGTACATTTTTCATGAATGCCTTCATAGCTGGCTTGTATATGGGCGTTTGATGGATCCTGGTTTCCAAGTATATTTTGTTTGCTTTTTTTTATGTTTTTATCTGGAGAGTTTGTATTGTATGAAATATTATTGAATTGGAATTTACATTATAAAGTCAACTAATCAATACGTCTTCGTCTGTCTGATTTAAAATAATGCAATCCGAGACGATTGGTCTCATTCTACATTCCATAGATTATAGTGAACTTCTGGAATAAAAACGAGCAATACATCTAATAAATAAGATTAGTTAAAATTATAAGTCAGTAATTTTGTGCGTCTCAGAAGTTCCATTCAATCGGCAGCATCATTTCTAGTGGATGATCGAATTGCGAAACAAATGGGGAGTGGAAAAAAATTGGTCAGATGAGTATAAAATAGTGGATGATGCAGCACCATTAATCTTCCGGCAGTTTGAGGGACTCAAAGAAAAGGTACGTCAGCAAGAGCTGTTTCCTGAAGTGTTTATTTCCAATCATAAATTTTGCTACTCTAATTATGGAGCTTGAACATAATTTGATATTGATTGAAAAAAATTTCTCTGTGCTAATTTTTATTTGAATTTTTCTTTAATTTTGAAGATTTTCGCATTCTGATCGAATTTATTAATTTTCAATTTAGGTTTTCTATCTGGCTTTTACCTGAAATCTGTTTAGATTTTTGTTGTTGGAAAAACTGTAGCTCTGCTGGAATTGATGGGCATGGAAGACGACGATTTACATGAGAGACAGCGCATACTTTCTTCAGTTGATCCACTACAATGCTATTTATGTATATCAAGTGGTTTTCGCCTTTGGTATGCTGTTAAAAAGTATGCTTTTTAGAGTATCAGTCATTGTTTTTTTTTTTGTGAAATATTCACTTAGTTTTTGAACTCTTTCGAAAATTTTGCCTGAGATGACTCTTCTTTTTCATTATATCAATACTACCTGTAAATTTTCATTTATATCCGGCGAGTTTTGCTTACAATTATTTTGCGTACGATTATCACATAGTTTTGAAACAATTTAGCACATCTGTGAAGTGTACATCATTCATTATCCATGTTACATGTTTCAGTTGGTTTTATAATATCTCAAATTTTAGACTATCTCATCGAATGATTGGCAAAGTTTCGCAGAATATCGTTCAAAAATACAACTTTCATACCCATATATTGGCTATTGAGCGACATTATTTGTTGAACGACGAATATTTTGCATTAACCTTTTACGAAAAATTAAAGTTAGTGTAAATTTTTTGCTCATCTTTTGAATGAAGTCAATGAAATCTACTACTGACTGATTCTGTAGTGCTAATATAATTAAATTTTTTTGCTCAAGATATTGTTATATATTCTTTTGAACACAGAAAAATTTTTTTAAACATGTATAGAAATTTAATACTCCAGAATAATCATTTAAAAAATGTGAATGAAGACAACTGAATTTAAATGAAGCAATGATTCAAATAATCTTAAATAACTGATCCCAATAGGAATCTTATGACCACTTCTCTTTGTCGCCGATATCGTGCCATTGCTTCGGCTGCACATTATCAATGCCAATGGATTAAATTGCATAATATTTTTAATAAGAATTAATATAGATCCTTCTAGAAGTTTAGCTTTCGACCTAGTTCAAAGCAATCAGTTACAGGAAGGAAACAAGTAATGACGGTGATATGTTGAAATTGGATTCCGAGCAAGTTTCTCAGGCATTCAGTGCAGCTATTCAACAGTGCAATAGTTGGCCAAAAGACATTCTAAAACAAGCAAAAATCGATGCAACTTGTGGTTTGATGGAAGAATTTAACGAAACAGGTGGCTCTTCACATCTTGTCGCAAGTCCTCGGGATCAAAGTGGCTCTGCAACCATCCGTTTGAACTATGAATCCAAAGTTCCCATCTCAATTGTTCTGGACAAAAGGTTTGCTCCTTTTAGTTATTTATTCGTACCACTCCTGTGCTTTTGCTTATGTATGCATGTATGGATTTAAACTGGTATCTGTAGTAGCATGCATGCATGCATACATATGTTTTAGTGATGCTAAATAGGTTTCATAATGAAAGCCTCAATCGTAAATCATAGAAATCAAATGTAACCAAGAAATCTGCATGATCTTTTTTTTGTAATTTTGAGCAATACAACTAAGAATTTTGTGAATTACGCAAACCTGTGGATTGAAGCAGAGAGATTGAAATTAAGTCAACTTACTTTTTTTGTTTGTTGATTTATCGCAATAAAACTATTTCTGGAGCAATTCCTTGTGGTGAGAAATAATTTTTGATTTCTATCTGTATTTCAAAATCCTACTCGCCAAAAGTTCGATTTATAAACATAAAGGTCTATGACATTGCAGTTCACTAATTTCAAGTCCTTTTAATTTTTTCTCGATGCAATTGACAACTTTTTTAGTGCTATGGAACGTTACGAAAAAGCATTTGAATTTATATGGCTTCTGCTTTCGACTGATTTCCAACTTACTACCACTTTGCAAGATCACCACTGCTTTATAAAGAATGAACCGTTGTCTGGTTTGTTTTCTGTTGTGTCTCCTCCAAAAATTGATGCTCACTTTTTATGCTGAAACTATTTACTTAGTGCTAGAACATTATTTACTATTATTTACTTCAATTTATGGTTTGTCAAGCAATAATAGTGAGAGCTTTTTTGCGGATCTTATTATGCGTTGGATGTTTGCCTTTTAATGCTTAGCTTTATTATCTGCCTATTATTTTATCCATTGTTGAATAACTGTTCAAAACTGAATGTAATGAGTTAATTGTTTCAGATGCAACATTAGTCGTGAATATATTTACAATATCTTTTGCTCGAATGTCTCAAATTCTGAGCACTGTGCGTTCTTACGTCTCACGTAATGTATGTTTTTTATATCTTTCATGATATTGGTGTAAAGCTCTTTTAAAGCAAGAATTATTTAGCTTGAAGCAAATTCGATAGATAATTTGCATGTTATACTCAATAATTGTTTGCTTTTTAAATCATCTTTATCCCACATGCTTAGCTAAAAAGTACAATTTATTTTTATGAGATATCTATAGCAATCTCATATTTTTATAGTTATTTTGTAGATTGTGTTACGTCTTCGATCAATCTTGTTTCTGGAGATGGACAATATTAGTGATATAGATGGTCTCATAGAAGCACATAACCGATATCTTGGGCAACTCGAAAATGGCCTTTTTTTGGATGAAGAAAGCATGGTAAAACGCTTTTACTTTTCAAATATGTTGGTTTTGCCGTTCGACATTACTTATTACTTATGCGGATTATTTTCCACATAATTGATGTAGGTTAAAATTTGCATTATTTTCAGACGCTGCATAACTTGTTTTGCGTAATTTTCTCATTAATAACAGATCTTCTCGAATACTATACCTCTTTTCGATCAGAGGTAAGATATATTTATATCCCTTTGAGATTGAATTTTTTGTTTCTGTATGTACAGCATGAAAATAAAAGATTTAGCAATACCGTGCATTCTAATGTAGAAAGGCTTGAATTTAATCCCAATTTTTGAATGTTTTAATATAATTTTGGATGGTCGATACAATTGAGGCCCGTAAACGTTTCGGTGAACAACAAAAAAAATTGAATGGGAAAGATTTTTACGACACTAAATTTTTTGAACAAGAAGAAGAACGAATTCGCTTAGAAGAATTGCAACAACATCTGGAAGAATATTATCAGCCAAAAGTGAAAACTTTAAATTCGAAATTTGTGGTTGGTTTACTGATATCGTAATTAAATGCTTTGGTTACTTTAAGCAGCAGTCATAAATTTAAAATTTTTGGGTCTAAATCATTTAAATGGAGTGGTTTCCCGGGAAACTTTAATAAAATTCTTAGGTTTCCTAAATCTCTAAATTTATTTATGGACTAGGAAAATAGAAATAACATTGAAATATTTTGTGGATATGTTTCAGTGGATTATAATATACAGAAAGAACTATACAGCTGTATCAACTAAAACACAGAATTTTCATTAATACTTATCGAATGAAGTGTTTATTTTAGTATCGAAGCATGTAATTATCGCGCTTTTCAGCTTCTTATACGGGATATACTCAATGTTTTAACGGCACCACCGCGCAAATTGCATTATGTGGAACTTGCATTGCAGCTAGATTTAACTGGCTTTTATCGGCAGTGTGAAATTTAACGATCATTTTTGAGGTCAGTTCTGAATCTTCTCATATCATTTGCTACTAAGTAGGCTAATCCTATATATCAGATTTTTAAATAAATGATGTTAACGAATCTTATTTTTTGATACCTTATTTGGTCACGGATTTATTCACTGGATTGAATTACTGATGGCATTCCTTTATTGTGCTACTTATGGATGTTCACTTTGTATTTATTTTAATTCTTATTGGTAAAAAATATTAGTATAAAACAATTATTATTCTGACTAAAATGATTCAGGTTATTTTACGTCTTTGCGTTTTAATGTGTAATTTATTTTTTTTTGTGCGGTATACCAAAAGTTTTGAAAGGCTGTGTCTTTATTTTCGTTAAACAGTTTGTCAGTGAAATATTCGCGCATTTGAATGCTTTCGTTCCAATTATGTTTGATATTTAATTCTACAGCAGTGCATTTTATTTGCGTTTTTTCTTGTAGAGATGATTTTGTTTCTTGCATTCTTATAATCTTGTGTTGCAAATAATTAGAAGTTTGGAAGTGGAATTGTGAGACAAGAAAAAACTCGTATTCTTGTCAATCTTATTTAAGGCAGAAAGACAAAGAATGGCGTTATTTTCACTGAAAATATATTGTTCAAGGAGTTTATTAGTAAATTTTTGACTTTAATGTTTTTTTTGCTTTATTATATTAACACTTTTTAAGTGTTATTTTTAGTATTGGTTCAATTCTCTAGGATCGCCATATCTGTTGTTTTTCAAAGTGCAATTATAAAATGCAATAAAAATCAAGATTAGTATTTCGCACCATTAATTAATTAGTATCTTTGTATAATTATTCATAAATTTCTCAAGCTTCTTCAGTTTTTCCTTAATTTTATCGCAGTTGGCATTACAGAATAAATACTCTTTCAATTACTTTTCATGAAGCAAAAATTAGAAGCAAATTGCTTTGAGAAATATATATTTATATTTTTGTTGCAAAAGAGGCAAAAGAATTAACTTTAATATCCTAATTGACAACTGACCTTCAGTGACATGGCGTAAACATCTGGCGCTATGAAATTTACGTACTTGAAAGATGAATTAATTCATCAGAATTTCTCATTTATATGCAAAATGATTGCTTCCACTTCAGCGTCATTCAAAGCTCATTCTAATAAATGACAATGACAGGAATAGAAGTGACGAGTAATATGATAAGACTTTTATAGTAACATTTTATTGAATTAATGATTGTTTGACGTGATCTTATATGAACTGAATAGATTAGGAAATGTGAAATAATGGAGTTAAGAAAATATGACAGCAAAACAGCAAACAGACAAGCAAGTGGAAGAAATATTTTAACAAATAAAATTGCAACGGTCATTTCATTATAATAATTAGTGATAAAGTTGTTATAAAAAAAAAAAAAATTTGTAAGAGATAAATTTTTTGTAAGAAGGTTATAAAAGAAGTGATATTTTATAAAGAAATAAATTTTAATTTGAAAATCTCAAATCGAGAGTTTATTTTTTTCTAGCGAAGTAACTATTCCCTATAATTGTCTTATATATTTACACAATCCTTTCTTCTTAAATGTATTATGTAAATTAGCAAATCGTTCTATCGATATTCCTACTTTGTGTAAAAAAAAAAAAAGGAACGGGATGGCTGTAAAAAAAAAAAAAAACAGACAGATGAATAAACAGTGAGACATAATAAACAAAATATATTTCCTTATTTTGCAAAAATATACGGCTTTCTCAATCATTCCGCATCACTACAATTATCATTTTCCTTTTTACGTATTTCTAACGTCTGAAAAAATGTATTCAAACCATTTTTAATCATCGTAATCGTTCGTTATTTACATTTGCATGTCATTTAACCAAATTGCTGACAGTGATTTTGGTGACACGAAGGCATTTTACATCGTTTTGCTCATCATTGCCTCATTTCTCCTCTACGGGCATAATTATCCATCCTTTATATGATGAAAATTTCTTATATTTTCAAATAAATTTTAAAGTGATTTTTTTTTTAATCCTTTTAATTTTCAGTTAAGAAAAAAAAATTAGTAAGCTATAATCGATTTTGCCACATTCTGTCTGATTTCTACTGAGTTTAATCTTTAAAGAAAAAAAAAAAGTTTTTATTCATTT